TAGCGCAGACCACGCTTCAATATTGAGCATAAATCAAAAATGTCTGTCAAGCTCACTGCAACACTCTGCAGTAAGAATATAACCAGGAAGCGAGGTAGGAGGGCAAAATAGGTTTAGCGCCACCGCAGCACGGGAGGGAGAATTACGTCCAGGAGCAAGTGGATAAAAATAAAAACATGAATCGATTCTCTTGCGGACGTATCGATGAATCGGATCGTCGGCAGTTGGATCGATGCATCGATACAAAAGGATTATTATTTACACCCCTAATAGGAAGGACCAAAACCAACCCGATTGTGTTTGGGGGGGGAATAATAGCCAATTCTTAGCGTGTGTTCTTTGTGTCCTGCAGTGTTTCCCGTGTGGAGGGGAATAGGGGCCAGTAGCGCCGTCGGGTGGAGCCAGGGCTGGGGCCGCTGCCTGAGATGGGAGCCGGACAGCAGAGACCGGGGCACCAGAATCCCAGTGTTCGACTACCCCGTCTGGTTGGTGTTCTGCCGCCGAGGGCGTGCCAGGCTCAGGGAGGCGTGTCAGAGGGGGAGAGGTGCCATCAGACTGCCCACAGACCTGCTGAACTTAAAACTGCCCCAGCTCTTCGACATCCATCAGGTTCCCAAGGTAAGAAAAAACAGAAGGCCCCACTGTCAGTAATCCTGTCTTTCTTTTTTTGTCCTGCAGTAGATAAAATGAATCCTACAGTTAGCCACGGCCGTGTGGGAAATCTTTGAAAGTCACGCATCTTAATAAAACACTGAAAGCTGAACGACCCTAATTAGATTCTCAAAAGACTTAAAATGACTCCTTTTGAGGAGCATCTACTCAACTTTGAAGTAACTGGGATTTCTCTGTGAAGATGAGAAGTTTCTGTGCTTTCTACATAACTTTTCTTGCCATTGGAGTTGATTCTCCACTAACCTGCCTGAGATGAGGAGGAATCTTACACATTACACTAAAGCTGGGCATATTTTCAGTTGTACTCAGCTACAATTCAAACTGTAAGACTAAACCGCACGCTGGAAAAATGATCTAGAAATAACAACATTTTTTTTTATTAAGTGTGTTTACCCCTAATTTGAGTAGGTAAATTAGATAGCTTACCAATGGAATGAGTATTTTTACTCTTAAAATAAGAAAATTAGATAATATGCACTTGAAATAAGACAATGGAATTGTGTTTTGTCTTATTTTAAGTGTAAATTGTCTCTTTCCATTGGCAAAATGTCTCTTTTACCTCCTCAATCCAAGAACAAATGCACTTATTTTAAGAAAAAATGACTTATCTAGATTTTGATTTTTTTTCCAGTGCAGTTTAAAAGCCCGACGCTCTGATGCGATCTACCTGCTCACACTGCACATCCAAAAACCACACTGCAAAAAATTGAAATCTAAATAAGTTGAATTGAGTAGGCAAGTGAGACACTCTGCCAATGGAAAAAAACAATTACACTGTCTTATTTTAAGTGTATATTATCTAATTATCTTATTTTCAGAATACAAATACTCATTCTATTGGAAAATCATCTTATTAACCTACTCAAATTGAGAGTAAATAAGGGTACATTTGTGAATTTTGTACTTATTTTTAAGACCGCTTTTGCAATGCACACGTTGGACTCGGCAAAGAGAGATGGCGTGGTCGGACTCGCCATTCTTGAAGAAAAAGAGAAATTGGCTCATAGCTCTGCTTCAACAGAAGGATTTGTCCAAGAACACCTCACGACGGTTTGATTTTCTCCCAACATTGCGATTCCTGATGGGGAGGTGGTCATGAGAGGCTAATCGCCTCTCGTTACCCCCTGTACCCTACATGACGCATAATCAGGCTAAAAGTCGGCACGATCGAAAAAATTCTTGCACGACTGGAAAAAATCGTCCCGACAATGGCAAAAAAAATCATACAGTGTATGCCCAACTTAACCCTCTGCAGCCTTTAGTTGCCTTTTCATAAATCTCATAATGACCAATAATTGTATTATTATTTTTAGTTTGAGAATAAAAATTTGCGTTCAACTTGATCAGTTATATTCAATTGACCTGAGGTAAAACAGCCAGCATGAAAATGAAGAAAGGTCGAATATCTTAGCCTCGTGAGACCATCCTGATCTCGCGAGCTTTCAAGGTTTCACCCGCAGATCAGTCTGGAGACTCTCCGT